ACAATCACATAAAGAAATGTACTGTTTTCTGCACTGCATTTTTTTTTATTAGCTGAAAACATGATTTTTATTGTTAATAGTACAAAGCAGCTAGATGCAATACTTCTACATCCTCAGTTTCAGACCTCCATCGCAGAGCTCACTCCAGAGCAGAATCTAGTATTTTAACATTGCTGTAGAAAGTATTAAAATAGTACTTTCAAAAGAAATCTGAGGCAGCAACTGTTGATTTGCTGACTCACTAAGTGACATAGACAGCATGTGACTTTTTCTTCAGCCAAATTATACAGCAATAGCTTTTCATGTTAATGAAGATTTTTGTGTGCATGATGTTATTTGATCATGTCAGAGACAAAACACTTCAGAAAGCTCATTCCTAGACTTCTGCTGACATTTTATGGAGACTTCATAAGAAGGGTTGAACTTCATTTTCACTGGAAGATTACCCAATCTTCTTAAGCAAATCGTATGTGATCATCTATAGCAAGTTCAGATTAGAATACCTATTGACATGTGCTTTTTAGCATCTTAAATAAAACACTTAACTGAAGATGTGAGGCTAACATTCTCAGTTACTTTCAGGAGCAGATTCTTCTCATCACCAAAATCAGAAGATCATTAAGGTGCCTGTTCCAAAAGTCACTAAAATTAATACAAAGTCATACACTAAAGGTTGAGTTAGTTATCTTTATTTATGTTAGAAGCAGCTGATTAATGAAATATAGCTAAATATACAAAGTGGTAAGAATATTAATAACTACTTTGGACACCAATCTATCCCAGTGGGGATTAATTCAACAAAACTGAAAATCTAGGACACAAACTTGCAACTGAGATAGGGCATCAATGTCTGACTTGTGTGGCAAACAATTATTTTAAACGCAACTTCTGTAAAATACGCATCCAGATGCATTTGTCTAAGAAATGAGAAAACCAAAAACGTTTCTGAAAATCAAATAGAATCACACAAAAACATTAAAAGCAAACAAATACTATCTGAGGGGCAATGACTGGGAAGGTAGTCTTCATAAAGAAAAAATAAAGACTCATTGCTAAGAACTAGATTTGTAATATTACATTCATCTTGACAACAAACAAAGAATTCTTCAAATTAAAAGTTATTTTATCATGAGACTCAGGACATAATTCAACTTAATGCCTTGTATTAAGCCTTCCTATGCCAGAACCACATTTGAAAGGCAAGATATCAAGGAGAAAAAAAGAAGAAAAAAAAGAAACACACCCCACACACACACACACAATCATTAGCTTAAAGTACTTGACTTCTCCTACCTCAATCTTAAACATTAAAGATCTGATCCAAAGCTGATTGTAGCCAATAACAGATTTTCTGTTGCCTTCACTAGTTGTCAGGCAGGCTTATTCAACTGAAAACAACTGTCACTGCCAAAGTGATGAGAGTCAAGTAGTAGAAACGTAAGTTCATTTAATTTTCTCATTTAAATAAAAATTAACATTAGCTTCCATTGAAAGATTGATTTTCAGCATGTTTCTATTCTTCTTGGTTTTAACTTAACAATGAAGACAACATAATCTTGGCAGATAGACAGAAACCAAACCTGAAATATGTAACATTCAGCATTACACAGCGTATTATATGCCATCCAATCCTGACCAACATTTCTTCATGGTACATTAGAGTATTTGAAGAAGGACTAAGTCTTTCCAGCCCTCCCTGTTTTAACATTTACCAAAGTCATCACCAAAAGTATATATGCTTGCCACAATGCAGTAGTAGGGAAATGAATGCCATTTTCTTGGTTAGGCACAATAAAGAAAAGAAAATGAACAGATATCTTCCCTTGGGAAAAGGAACTTCTGTGAACTTCAATACCTAAAGATTATTCTGTTCTTGCCTTAAAGCACTGCTCTTCCAGGATATACACATAATTTAAAATTGTTATGCTAAGTATACTGATACAGGCCAATGAAGCAGTATTTAATTGAGGTGTTAGTGGGATGCTAGGAATAAGAATAAAATTTTCAATTCGTCACAAGCAACTAGCTGCGTACTTAATTAGCACTACATGCAATTCAGTCTCAAGAGATAACAACATGGGGGCTGGGGGGGTAACAGGAAGGTGGTTGCTTGACAGAAAGAAAGCAAGCAAGAAAAAGCACAAAGCCATTTGGACATTTTCTTGGTTTTTTATTATTACTACTAACTATACAGTTACCACAGGCTGGGTTTTTCCCCTTTCACGTTACTTGTAAATAAAACATTTAGCATGTAGCTCTTTACAAGGATAACAGCAAGATCAAGGATGCCTCACCACCCAGTCCTCTGGAATCTGTTGAATGAGCAAGTGTAAACCTTTCAATTCTTCAGAACTTTGCAAGTTACAGGCAGACTAATGGCATTGTGCTATACGTAATTCAAACACAAACTCTAACATCCTCAGAACTTACTTTAACAAAATCACTGGACCAAACATTTTTTTGGGAGTTCCATGTTTTCCCAAAGACCAAAAGAAAACATAACGTGTACAATTTTGTCTCAACATGATATCTTAAAGAAGCTAAGTCACAATGCTGGTCTCGAAGAAAAAGCAATAGCTGGATCAAAACAGACCACATCATAGACTACAACTCCACACAACTAGAAATGCATGTGGTAAACTTCCTCACAGAAAACTATTCCACAAAATTGAAGCTCTGCTTCCAGGCATCACATACCAAGAAAAGAAATGTTCCACTAATGTTCATTTTTACTCGACTTACAAAAAGCCTCTACTATTTAGCCTTCTTTCAAAGGTGTCCTCTCTGAAAATGCATTTTTTGACTTCTGTCAGACTGTGAGGTCAGGCTTTAGTGTGCCTTCATCCAACAGTCTTCAAATTAATAATTTTTAATATCTTTGGTACAGCTGACTACGCACAAACTTGGCTAGTTGCTGTGACTGCCTCCCACAGTCTCTGGAATAACCATCTACTTGGACGATTTAACTTTTTACTTTCTGCATTCCTGGTCTTGATTTTCAACTTAAGACTCCTCTCAGGATGATTTAAATTATATTATAAAGCTCACGTTCAGATCAACTTCAGTAAACATGAACAACTTGTGTTCAAACATTCAGGAAGTCATAAAATTTGGTATGCAGGAATCTTTTCAAGGGTCTCAAAACTAGGTTACAATGAGATATTATGAAATGGTTTAGAACAGCTCATAAGAAACTCATTTTCTTATTTGCTGTCGATGGGGTCATTTTAGTGTCATCAGTAAATACATGTATTTGCTTTTTATTTTCTGTCTTACAGAAACGGACAAGTCTTGTTTAATCATCAGCAATGAGGCATCTGGAAAATCATATGGCTTTCCAACAAACTTAAAGACCTTCCCATTGCTGTAATCCACCCACCACCCCTTCTGAAATCCTTGTTCTAGCTCCAGTATTTTATTGATTTAAAATAACCTGCAGAAACATCATGAAAAGGCAAGTGAGCCAGGACACGTTAACATGCAGCATATTCAACAAACATTTGCAGTAAAAGCACATTGTATTGTTTTGTTTTCAGCTGTGAACAAAGTAGATGAAACCAGTTGCTCTGAGTACATAACCAAAGGACAGAGGGGAACAAATTGTCCACACCGCCTCTCTGGGAAAGGATATTTTGGGCACACCCCTAGATTAAAAAAGTAAGAAGAAAAAAAAAAAAGGGAAGGGGAAAAACAAAGGCACAGGGATTCACAGACTTGAGTTAACACTCAGCTAGGAATGTTTTGCCACCCACCGTATTTATACTGTGTTGGGATTTAATGAGATGGGCTTTTAACATTCTCTCACTCATTGTTCTAGTGTTTAGAATCTATTTATAGTTCTGTTAAGACCGTATCAATACTACCTCTCTTTGTAAGCCGCTCAGCGATGTTAATGCTAGATTTTTTTTTTCCAAACATTTTTTTTTAATAAATGCAGAGATAGTGCTTTAAGCCAGATTTCAAGCGTAAGCTTTTTTTTGTACAGTGTAATACAACATAAAAAGAAGCCATCCTTCCAGTTCTAACCATAGGAAGGTGAAAAAGTGAAAAATTAGTCCCATTAGTGGGAAATGAGTTTACTTCTCAGTGTAAAACAGGACTAAATATGCATTAAATAGAAACTGTTTGTTGGGGGTGGGGAAGGGTGTGGAAGAAATAAAAGGAAAGGAATTCTGCTGAAAGACCTACAGCAGAAAAGAAAGTTTACAAAGACAGAACAAAAACACCAAAAAGCAGGTGTTTATAACAACTTGGAAATACTGCTATTGCAAGTATTTATCAGTTAGTGTAATCTCCTCAACTGGTAAACTCAGATATTTTTGCTACAGGCAAACACAGTTATGACAGGAACTAGGACCTAATTACAAGATCTAGTGTATAAACTGCTGTTGCTGCCTAGTATATATGAAAAAGTTAAGAGAAGCCTAGAAACTCATTATGCCTTCATCTGCCCACAGCACCAGGCTTTTTATTTCGCTAAAGATCTCACAACTACACATTGCGTTGCAAAGTTGCTAAGATTTAAAAACTTCACTTATACAATTGCCAAGTCCCAGCACAAGTGTCACAGAAGGAAATGTTTTATATTACAGTTGGAGGAAGCTATAAGCTGACACCTGCTGATCTGCATATATCAGTATCTCAGTAACTTACATTCATCTTCCTATATTAAAATTATTTTAATCCTCTTTTTTTTCATTTTCCCATTTTTCAATAATTTCTCACAATGGTGTCACATTTTTGTGTTTTGCTTGACTTGATATTTTTCACACTTCATTGATTAGAAACTATCATTCCCTATTTCTTTATAATTTTAAAGAAGTCAATCCCCCTCCACCCCAAAAAAACATATTTTAAAAGGATTTGTAAGTACAAAATCTCACTGCAGTATCTTTAAGCTAGGGAAAAAAGAAAATTTGAAAAAAGAATTTGTTACAGTCTGAACTTAATTCTGAAAGCACTTTTTGCTAGGTGTGATGATGTCACTCTAGATTACTCACTTCCCACATGAGCCTGCAGTCTGTGTTCTCATCCAGTTCCTGCGGCATTCGCTTCTCCCCTGCAAAGGGGCCAAATTTTTCACCCTAAGGAATAATTATAAGAGAAAAAGTATTAGTAAAAAAAGAAAAAAAGCAAGCAAATTGCCAACCTGCAGCAGAGGTATCATTTTTAGCTTCAAATGGAAAAGGACAGTTTCCCTTTGTCATCCTGCTATATGCCAGGAAGGTGCACATCCTTGAGGGTTCAACTTCAAGCTCATTCGCATTCTTTTCATAGCTTGGAGAAGCTCTTAAACCCATACCTTTGCTCTACATGCTTATTTCCCCTTTAGGAAACAGCACTTCATTTAAAACAAGGCTGAAATTTACAATTCAAATTTCTTACATTTCTTATAAGATTTTCAGGAAGCACCTTGCAATAGACACCCAACTAAAACGTAAAGTATTTGGCAAGCACAAAGTTTACATTAGATTTATTTACAAGATTATTTGCAATAATACTTTTTGAAGTGCCACAAACCAAAACACTGAATAAATGAGGTTTTGATCATACAGAGAGATTTGTTTAAAAACGTAGGGAGTATGCACGTGTCTATGAATTAATTCAAGCCTTCATAAACAAAATTAAAATGTTATACCACCTGCTAGTCATAACACATGCTGTGAAAGCATCCATTGATATGTTCTTCCAAAAGTATTGGGTATCAGTGCTTTTTTCCTTCACAGACATCACACTAGCAGCAGGGTAAATTACTTAAATAGGACTTTCTTCTTACACAGGCCCGACTCTCCACTCCCCTCCCCAGCTTTGTCCTTATTTGCAGTGACAAGCCCGACAAACCAGAATGCAGAATGGTATGTTTAGAAGTATTCAGATCGAAAAGCTCTCTACACTTTAAAGCATTAGAGATCATAACTATATAACAAAAAGCAACTTTTGTGTTTCTTTACAAATAACAGTATTTTGGCTAATAAAATTCTTGATCTCATCCACATGTCCCTTCCTCCAGGCACATTCCAAGGTCCCAGAAACAGCCTGCTACATGTTTTCCCTCTTGGTAAGTTTTTAGAGACTGCCTGCAGGTAGAGTGGAGAGGAAGAAGTGGAATGGAAAACTTTCAGGATCATTCCGCTTAGAAACAACCAACCAAATAAAAAAAAAAAAAAAAGAAGAAACCAAACAAAAAAAACCCTTGTATTTAAAATTAAACCTGAAGAAGTAATAAACAAAGAAAAAGAAAACTGGCATTGCATAACAAGACAACAGAACTGAGAGGCAATATTTTTAAATATGCACAAAGAAGATTTCATCAGCAAAGCAGAAGGTAAAAAGACAAGAAAAGCAGAAGACAACTGGAGACCAAAACAGTAACGGAGACACAGATGTAGGCAGTGATAGCAAATATTGGCACTATGGGGCTTCACCTCCTTCATTTCTCACTGATCTCCAGACCACCCTTGATTGATTGCTCATTTTTGAGGTCAAAGTTCCTCCCCTGCCAACTTTACAAATTCTGGGATTTAATACTCAACTTGAAATTTCCTTCTTCTTTTATCTCATCAGCAATGAAGGTGAAAATAGGTCAATACAGTTATATGTGTACAGCCATCAATGTTCTCAGCTTATGCTGAGCGCCACCCCAGCAAACATACTGCTGTCTAATAGGGGCCACGTAGGTATTACATGGGAGGCAGTTTGCTTAGATTGAGGAGGAAGAGTCAAAATGGTGGTGGAAGAAATCTGCTATGGAAACATGTGGTGCTATAGTAAAGATAAGGTAGGCCTTTGCTAGAGCAGACACCTCCTGCCAGGCTGAACTGGCTTTCCCCATTCACTTGAAAGCAGTAAGTAGTTTTGGTGCAATAAGGAAAGCAGCTCACTACAACTGCAGAGGTCTAAGAGAGCTTACAGCATTACAGCTGCAGAATCTCTCATTACTCCTAACAATTGTCAAGATGAAAATGAATTTATTGGACTGTAATCTAGATTAGGTCTATAGAAAGAAAAAGAAAAAACTCCATTATTTTAGTATGGAAATTATTTGAAGGCATAATGAATAAGGAAGGAACATGAAAAAGCTAGTCTCCCAAACTCACTTCAGCAGCAGAATAACACTTCTTAAGATGACAAAGAGATTAGTTTCTTCCTGAAGTACTTTGGAGGCTGCTACAACCCTCACCACAGTAATACTTTCATCCTTGCAATCCAAAGGATCCCTAGATACTTTATAAACCATCTATAGTGTTAATTTTACCCATCACTGAAGCATACATCACCTCTGGGATGAAGCACAGCAACAGCTTAATACGACATACTGACTGAAAACATGAAACACCATACATCATTCTTAATCTTAGCTACTCCAAACCAATAAACCTCTACTGCAATATTAAGACCTTCTAGAAGGTCAAAACAATAGCAAAAGCAAAAAGGTGGGATGTCCACTTCTAAATGTAAAGTAAATGTCATATGATCAATAGGTAATTCAGACTTCTAAGCACTTTCTACAGCTGCTCAAATTTGGAGAGAAAGCAGAAATTAGAGACAGTAAAACCTGATGTCCTGGAATACAAAGGTGCATAAGGATAATTGTAATTATTCATTTAGCCTTTCAGAGCATTTTCTTCATATATATATATATATATATATATATATATATATATCATTAGTCCCAGTTCATAAACATGCTGTCATATGCCAATACATATTGATCCAAAACATACCAAGACTTCAACTTCCTCTCTGATCAATAGAAGCAAGGCATACAACACCGTCTGAAGTCAACCAAAAAAGTGACCAAGATATGAAAGGGAGACCATTCAAGTGTTAATAAAGCAATTTTCAACAGTTGCTGTCAAGAAAGCAGCAGTGACTAATCTTCTTCCAGATGCAGCAAAACACTGAGAAAAATAGTGGCTGGCTGATGATTCCACCAAGGGCCTTACAATACCAATGCTGTAACCAAAGGCCAGATGTTGGAGAAAAGAAATTACAAGCAAATCACAACTTTTGTTAAGGTAACAAAACAAAATGTTTCCACCTTTTATGATTACAAACAAAAAACTTGAAAACACAGCATAATGCCTGAAGGCACAACAGCAGATGGCAGACAACAGCAGTTCAAAACATGTTATTACCAAAAAAACTTTGCTAACAGCAAAATTTTCAGAGGCCTACTTCATGATTACTTAGCACTTGAAGAGTAGGTACCGAAATTTCTAAATGTAAGATCATGTGAAATGTGTTTTACTTCCAGTTAAGACAACCACAGTTTTGTGATAGCAATATAGAGAAAATGGTGCAGTGTTTCCTACTCAGCAACATAGATCTTGCTTCACAATTAAGTGTCATATGCAAAACCTCCTCCCAAACCCAAAATCCCAAGGAATTGCTTTAACAACTCTGTATCATAAGCCATGAAGTGCAGTACTGCTACCTCATTACTGGACAGGAGGACATTGAAAGCATTTCAGATATGATTTTTCTTTCCATAGAAGAAAGCAACACACAGTCTGGCTATATCCAACATATCATCTGTGTTATTTACACATCCACTCTTCCCTGAACAGCTGCAGTGACACATGGTGCGTAGGTGTCCAACCCTTTTTAGTAATACCTGTTCCAACCATTGCCCACAGAGCGACTCAAGAGCTGGTTCTTCAGTCTGTCAAAGAGCAAAGTCTGCCTGTCAGACACATACTTCTGGTCAGGGCTTTGCATACCACATTTGTCTGTGCTACCCGCACAGAGGATTCACTGCTAAAGGACAAGCCTGTAACAAACAATGTCACCAGACACTGCTAATACAAATAGACCTTACTACAACTGCATCTGCTTTTATCTTCTGCATTCCATACATAATATATGTCACATTTGCAACATTTCAGTTTTGCTAGGATGTCTTGTATGTTGCACTCACAATGGCAGAGCTGCACAGGCTGAGCTCTGTCAGAATATACTTTGCCTGTATAAAGAGTTCAAAAGCAATGTGTAGTAATTCAGGCAAGAAAATGCTCTCTTTCTCCTAGCATGCTGTTCTAATGGTTCAATTGACAACAGCGTAAAGGAAGGGGGGGGTCTGACCCTGAACTGATATTCAGAATTAATGTTGACGTGCAGATGATGATTTCCACCAGCTTCACTCTAGCGCTCGCTCTGTTTCAGAGTGCAGGGATTAATACACGCGAGTAGTGTACAACCTTCCTTGCTGTGTGAACTCCCAAAGTTTTCAAATGACAGTTCAGAATCTCAGTGGAAGAAATTGACATCAAGTGATTTAAAACTGTTCTCCTTCCCCCCTCCATTAACACTCAGGGACACCTTAAAAATGAGAGACCCCTACCTCATGGTATCTAAGCCTTGTTGATGAAACCCCTGAAAGATCAGGCAGCCCTCCCTGCCTGCTCAGAGCCAAAACCAGGAGAAAGATGGAAAGCAAAACATACAAAATACATAGAAGTGTATGTTAACACAGGGTTTGTAACTTCAGGTGTGCCTCTGTCTGTTCAAACAAGGCACCTGGATGGGTATAATTGGGGTTTCAGACAATCAAGAAACTTTCAACTCAATTGCGAGGTGTCCTGGTTGAGGTATGCGAGACCTGCAGTTAAGCTGAACCCCATCTTTCACAGGCCCGGCTTTATCATCCCGAAATGAGGACCTGAACCACCCACCCCACCCAGCTCTGAGGGGAGGGAGGGAGCGGGCGGGTCCCCCTGAGGGGCATGGCGGTCCGAGGCCAGGCCCTAACCCAGCCGGCAGCCCTGTCCGGAGACGCTCTGCCCTCACAACAGTGCCAGAAACATAAACCAAGTTGAAGACGAAAAAAAAAAAAAAAAAAAAACCCACCACACAAACGGGGGAAACGAAAAAAAATCACCACAGAGAAAGTTCTCCAGCCCCCCTCCGGGCCAGTCAGCGGCCCGGCCCCGCACTCCCTCCCCGCCCCGGGAGGCTCCCTTTTACCGGTGGGAGGGGGCGGGAGGTGCCTCCCCTGAGGAGAGAGAGCCCGGGCGGACGGAAGCGGAGGCAGCGCCGACAAAGCGGGGCTGAGGTGAAGCCGGAGCGCGGCTCGGCCGCCGGAGAGGGGCGGAGAGCCGCCCCGCTCTCCTGTGAGACGTGGCAGCCGCTCCTCGCCGGGCCGGGCCAGGCCGTTAGCCCGCTCGCCCGGCCATCACCCACCTTTTTGACTCTGCGGGCCGTGTAGAGCCCCATCCCGTCCTGCACTTTTGACGACTTCAGAGCAAACCTATCCGGCACATACATGCCCAGCATTTTGCACCGGACTCGCCCCGCCGCTTGCTACCGGGGAGGAGGATTACCGGGGACTTCCATCCCACCGGGAATGAGAGAGAGAGACCGGGAGAGGGGGGGCAGGAAGAGGGGCTGGTTGCGGGGCTTTCCCGGCTCCTGAGGAAGAGGGGAGGAGCCAGGCCGCCGGCGAGGCCCCGGCCGGGCAGCGGCGGGACGGGACGGGACGGGGCGGAGCTGCGGCGGGACGGGGCCCGGCTGGCCGCCCTCGGGGGCTTCGCGCCGTCGAAGGGTTTGTTTAATCGCGTCGTGTAAATGTCGTGACGGGAAAGACGAGGCCTTTGGGTTCCTGACGCTCCCGGCTGCCGAGGCCTGGCCCCAGCCCGCACAAGCGTCCCTCTCCGCAGAGGCATAAAGCGAATTCCTCACCCGTCGGTTGGCTTTCGTTTCCAGAGCAAATAAATGGCTCTTCATCGCCCAGTCTCGGCCCTGTGGTCCGGCACAGATCTGACGATCGGTCTCCTGCCGGCGGGCTGGGCTTTCCCTCAGGTTTCTGCAGTGGGGCAACCCACGGGCAGGTGTGGGAGGAGAGGGGCGAGCGGCTGTGGTGGGACCGGCCACCGAGACCAAGGACAGACGCTCCCCCTCACCTCTGTCGCCAAGGAGAGGAGAGAGACTCTAAAAACTGAGCTGCTGTAATAAAACAATAATAAAAAGCAAATAATGAAATAGGTACAAAACTCTTACCAAGCTCCCAGGATGGCAGGCACCGGGAAAGTCCCAGACAAGACTTGGCAATGGATGTGAACTGGTTTCTAGATCTGGATTCAGGAATGCACAGACTGGGATCAAAGCAGACAAACAGAGTCCTCCTCAGGTGCTGGCCATTAAAGAAAGAGACGTGACCCTTTGACCCCTCGGCTTTTATACTCATCATGATGCAGCTGGGATGGAATACCCCGTTAGTCGGGTTTGAGTCACCCACCTGTCTGCTCCTCCCCACAGGTGCAACTCTTTACACTGCTGCTTCCAGCCCTCCAACATGGCACACAAAGTTAGCTGACCTTGGCTGCAATAGCAGTAAGTATAAGCAAGAACCTCTCTGCATACCCTTCTTTGGCATAAATTACAAATAATCAAGTCTTATCACTCTGAGAGCAAACAGTGTCTCCACAACATGCTGTTAATTTCAGAGAGTTCAGTTAGAAGAGGATTTACTTTAGCTAAAAAAATAAAATTACTAAACAGAAAATTGGTTCTCTTTTACCTCAAACCTGGATATCAAATTAGAAATATGGAGTTGATTGTGAAGCCCAACAGAGGCAGCTGGGCTTCACCCTGTCACAAAAATAGAGTGTTTTGTTTGTTTTTTTGTTTTAAGAACAGGGACCTCTCACATACATGTAGAAAAGGGGGCTGTTAATTTCAGAGAGTTCAGTTAGAAGAGGATTTACTTTAGCTAAAAAAATAAAATTACTAAACAGAAAATTGGTTCTCTTTTACCTCAAACCTGGATATCAAATTAGAAATATGGAGTTGATTGTGAAGCCCAACAGAGGCAGCTGGGCTTCACCCTGTCACAAAAATAGAGTGTTTTGTTTGTTTTTTTGTTTTAAGAACAGGGACCTCTCACATACATGTAGAAAAGGGGGCAGGAGACCTTATTGCTCTCTACAGCTACCTGAAAGGAGGTTGTAGCAAGGTGGGGGTTAGTCTCTTCTCCCAAGGAACAAGCAATAGGACAAGAGGAAATGGCCTCAAGTTGCAACAAGGGATTTTTAGGATGAATATTAGGAAAAATTCTTCAGAGAAAGGGTTGTCCAGCATTGGAATGGGCTGCCCAGGGAAGTGGTGGAGTCACCATCCCTGGAGGTATTTAAAAGACAGGTAGACATGGTGCTGGTGCTTAGGGGAATGGTTTAGTGGTGGTTTTGGCAGTGTTAGGTTAATGGTTGGACTTGATGATCTCAAAGGTCCCTTCCAACCTAGCCAATTATATCTGCTGGTACTTACAGATAAGACTGCTTAAGACAACAGGGGTTCTCACCAGAAGCAATACTTAAACACATTTCAATGCTATGTAACACTTTCTGTGAGCACTATGTTTTCTCAAATATCACTCAGATTTATCATCATTGTTTTTGTATTGGAGGAATGGGTAATTGTAGATTTAGATTCACTTTTGAAAACACATAACCCTTCCCTTCTAGGGATTGTTTGAGGGAACTCAGACGAACTTTCAGAAATTTACCAATCCTAAAGGAACCCAGACATAACACTGTTTTTGTCTAAAGAGTAACATCCTATATATTCTTACAACATGCCCATCAGGGACATTGTATTCTGACTAATACCACGCACAATCTACTCTGAACAGGGAGAAAGAAGCTACACTTCAGCAGGTTGCTAACATCACACCAGTACTCTTTTCCATAAAAGCGCAATATCCAGCATAGAACTTCTTCTAGAAGGCTGATTAATTTTGATTGGGTTTTCAGCCCACATCATACATATTGTTGTTCTCTAAATTGAAGTAATGTTGCAGTTAGAAAAGGGATTTGGTTACTTCTGATTATGCAGTTAAAAGCAAGTATGAAGATGTGAGGCAAGCAGAGGGAAGAGGAAAAAACCTGAAAAAATGCTGTATTTACAGTAGATATCATAAAGCTTTTAAAAAAAAAATCTTAACAACGGTAATGTATATGGTGCAACATGATACCATTCAATATATGAGCAACTTCTCTGGTAAATTAGATGAGGCCCTCACTTGGACCAGAAAAACAAAAGGGAGAATCCAAAAACATGGTTGGAAGAATGTCTTTGGTGAAAACAATCAGACACACAGGTTTTACACCTAGATTGATAGCCTGGACACAGACTGATAATTTAGTAGAAAATAAAAAAGAATGAAAATGGTGTATCTAAATCTGTGTAAGAACGAACCCTAATACCTCAAATTCCCTGAACAGAGAGGAATTAAGTTGCCTGCAGCAACTGCTTCAGTTTTAAGAGTAAGAACAAAATTTAACTATTCTTTTAATTTAGATCCAACTCAAAAGCTTCCACATGCATAATTGAACATAGTTAATATTTTTGTAGACTACTTTCTTGAATGGAGGCCAGCCTGTCTTAATGTATATCAGATTAAAACGTTAGCATCATTTTCCCTGTCTCTAACCTTTTCCAAGGACTATGAATATTTTAAAATCACTTTCCACTTTATGAAGGCCCCAGTATCTTTCTCTTCAAAAAAACCCAAACTTGGGGGTGCTTAATTTTGAACTTTAAAAGATTATATTTAACTTCATATATAAGAATAGTACAGCATAATTTGCAATGCATTTACATATTTTTTATGTAAACTCTTGAAATACTGAAGACTAATTGTTTTCATAAACTTCATCTGTTATTATTCCAGCATGAAATGTGGTTACCCATATCCCATTCAGCTTAAGCAAAATGGCAAAGTTGCTGTAGCACGGGACAAAACAGATGCCAGCCTCTGCATTTGTAGCATAATGGGTATTGTGACATTGATCAGATATTCACAACTGCTTGGCCACCTCTACCAGCATAAAGCTGACAACTGCTACTCAAGTACATGGCTACTACGTATGCTACAGCTCTGTTCTGTTTTGTCCTAGCTGCTGTTTCAAGGAGGGTGAGGTCTGAAAAATCCAAATGAATCAAATCGGACAGAAGAAAGATGAAAGACAGAACATCGTGCTGAATGTATGTTGATCACTAGTCAATGGCAAGTCTTGTATTCGTAACTCTGTTTTGTATTTGGTACATATATACCATATGTGCATATAGCCTCTTGTTTGTAGTGAACAAAATTGATTGCAGAACACACATATGCCAGCATCACCTTCAGCTGAAGATGCAGCGTACACTAGTGAAAGGAATTTTCTTGCTGACATAGCTAAATCATCTGTAAAGTGACCAATTGAACCAGTGAATACGCACTTGTTACAGTTGCAGCAGATACACCAGGGGTTGCTGGAATAGCTGGCAGCAACTTGGGAGCTTGAAGAAGTCAAGCATGCAACACAACTGCACTGACAGAAGTTCTCAGTGCTAACCAAGTCTCAGGCTCATGAACCATGAATCTCTAGTACCCAGGCACAAAGCAGCACTTTCAGGGGTCCCTACACACACACAAGCAGCCACCAGATAGCATAGAACAGGTGAATAGCTTTCTACTGTCTTAACAGAGACTGCATTGAACAAAATGCAGGAAAAACTTCTGTCAGCCCATTTTCCCAGAGGCCGAGGTGTATGCCTCGCTGTGGGCCTTCCAAAAGCAGGTTTTTAGTCTCTGCATCACGATTCACATAGACCTATCGATTTCTTCTCAGAAGGTCACTGCCAAACAAAGAGTATCACCTGCACTAAATATTTCAGCAAGGTTGTATCTATCCTGTACAATTAAATCACCACTCTTCCCCACACTCACTGGCTTTCTTTTTTCAAGTTCCCCACTCATAAGCAACAGAAACACCTGCCCAGGTAATTTTATTTGTTCTGTTTTCAAGTATTCTTTTCTTGGCACTTGCACTAAAACAGGTGCAATTGAAGGGAGGGTGACAATCAATCCAGGAATGTTTGTGCTCACAGAAACAACCAACTTCATTGCCAAAATGCTGTCTAGGTGGCTTAACTGAACTGAGGGGTAGCACTCATGCTCTAAAACAATGTCTGAGAAACTGGGTTGTTGCACAACTTGGACAAAAACTCACATGCAGAAACCACACTCACCCACAGAAAACACAAATGTCTTGTCTGAGAGTCCTTAGCCCAGATCAGTGACAACACTGTCGTTATGCAATAGAGTTCATCTACCGCAGCTAGACTAAACAGCAGTAGATATTGTTCCAAAAATAGGAGAAAAGTAGCATTGATATGTACACAAGATAGGTGAGTTATTATTTCCTGTAATTAAGAATGGACATACTCAATAAGGTCCTGCAAGATTTCAAATATCCATTTTCTCTTTAGCCACAGTTCTGGAAAGTGGACTGTAAAGAGGGTCCAGCGTGAAGCAGATTCTGAAGATGAAAACATACACAGGTTTTACCTTGTATTGCAAACTGGAATTAATCCAGAGTATTAAAAAAAAAAAAAAAAACAACACAACACTGTT